AATACGCATGAATCACCGCTAGCTCTGACTGACTCCTACGCAAACAGACTCCAAGATGGACCTTACCGCAAAGTTAACATTACCCGTAAACTATTCCCATTGCTAACCTTCGTACTGTACCGGATACTTCCTTTAACGGAACCCCAAACAATGAATGGCCGTATAGGGGAAAAATCCCGACCATTGGCCTCATCAATAGTTTATTAGTTAATTCAGATGTAGATGTGAGATTGGTAGCATGAGCATTCAAGCCACCGAAGTTAACAGTCATGGGCGAATACTCGTTACTCTTAATGTTTAAACAGGTAAACTAAATACTGCTCAAACATTTGCTTCAACGGTAGCCGTCATGTTCATGCTCATATTCAACTACGCAGAACGAGTTCCATTATGAACCACGATCCTTGCTGTCTGCGCTCGGCGTTGCGCAAATGATGGCGCTTAGAATTTTGGGGATGATACCAGCATTGGTTTGTTTACCTCAACATATTGTATGTGGCACGCCCTTTCTCACTGTGGTATATGATCATGCCGGACTTGCCCGTATGCGTGTATTTGCATTTGTGTCTATGTGTGTATATCTACACATGCTAACCCTAAGGCTTAAACCTGTACTAATACCAACATAATGACGAGAATTGTTAAATGACTCCTGATTCTAAACAACATCAACCCTAAGCCTGTCCCTGTCATTCGCCCTTATGTCAAAGGTGGCCGCAATATTCGCTCGGACAGCAGCCCCAAGGCCATCCATAGTAGGCTTAGTACCACTCATAATTTGATCCCGATGTTTCTCTTATTAAACTTGAAACCTTCGTTAGCTACAAGGAATCGTAGTGGTAGCTGTGATAACCCTGATGTCCTGGATCCTGGTCTGTGTTAAACCTGCAATACTAGCTCTCTATTGGCCCCTTGCTGATTTCCCAGTACACTGTATTGTAGAGCATCGACGCTACGCGGATTCGAATCTGGAACCCTAATTCGTAAGGTGCACAAACAACACAGGAAATAAACACTTTTTGCTAGTAAAAACCTGGTCTTGGAATGAAATATCAATTTGTTCATAAGAGAAAGGTTAGGTTGGTGTTGGACCCAAAACCCACTTTCCCCCTAGAGAAAAACATGGTTTTGGACCAAAACACCAACAACGAGCTGCCTGGCGGTTGTTTTTTGTTTTGAAGAGCACAGTGCTGATGTTGAGTGCATGCTCACGTCGACTCTGAAGGAATTGCCTGGCGCGCTTTTTGACATACTGTTGATGGACGAAATCCTGCATCATTTTTCTTACACCAAGAACCCCTTCGAAACTCTGAATCTTGACATTGACCTCTTCGCAATGCTTGGGAGGGGCATGTGCACGAATGACCGAAATCCTGCATCACCTACATGTGCACGCAACATTGAAATTAGAGGGGCACGGGCAGCTCCAGTGTGGACAAGGCATACGTGTCATGTAGGGGGTCATGCAGGATTTTGTCCATCCACCGTATGAGTTTGGTTTTGGCAGTCTTTGAGAGATACGGAATCCGGACCAGCCGGAACAGTTGGGATAACACGGTTTTGACGATACAAAACGTCATGAAAGGGGGATGGGAGGGGCCTTCTATATATATATATATGTATATATATATATATAACACATCTGTATGTACTTATAATATATATATATATACATACATACATACATACATACATACATACATATGTACATAAACATATATATATATATATATGCTTACACATACACACACACACATATATATATATAGTATATATACATTCATAAATACATACATATATACATACACAAAGACATACATCCATCCATACATACATATATATATATAAATTATAGGTATATGTGTTTTATGCTCGCGCACGTATGTCAAAATGTATGTATGCATGTACATACTTATGTATGTACTCATGTGTGTATGTAAGTATCCATGTATGTATGTATGTATGTATGTATGTATGTTTGTAGGCATGTATGTATGTATGTATGGGTGTATAACTGTCTATACATATATATACATATATATATATATATATACATGTATGTGTGTGTGTGTCTGTGCTTGAACACGGTGTGTGTGTGTGTGTGTTCTATACATATATATATATATATATGTCTGTGTATATGTATATGTCTACATATATGTGTGAGTGTAGATACGTGTGTACACACATGTGTATGTATGTATATATATATATATATGTATAGAAACATATAGATATATACACATGTATGTGTGTATATATATATATACATACACATATGTTTATGCAGGTATACATATATATATATATATACGTATATACAGTTCATATGATACGTATATGTACGCGTGTATACATATATATATATATATGTAGAAGGTACATATAGGAACTTCAAGAGTCAAGTCCGAGTTGGTCCTTGGAAACCTTCTGAGGCCCACTTGAGCAGGGCAGGGCAGGGAGGAAGGTCGGTGCTTTTTCTCTTTCTTGCCGAGTGCATTTGTCTGTTCGCTTGTTTGTGTTGTAAGTTGATTTCAAGACACACCGATCGTGACAAACACGGTGCTGATTTGCATCTGATGGTCATGTCAATCCGGTTCCTTGACAATTCATCCTCGAAGTGTCTAAAATGTTCTACGAAGGTCCCAAGCAGTAGCACAGACATCCTGGAGTCATGCTTGCAGCCTGTTCAAAAAGATGCTTCCTAGGTATTAAAAACCCCGTTAGAGTAGAGCGGGCCTGCTGCTGGCCGCTGAACCTGTGGCCTTGCCACCGTGCTATGATCGTCGGCTGAGTTATGATTTCGGCATGTCTGTTGCTGCTTGTCTCTAACATCGACACCGGGAACTGCATGCAAGCGCGGCACACCCCTGGAGCAACTCTTCCCGTAACGTTGCAATTGTTGTGTCGAGTTCTGGCACTGCTGTACACACAGCCGTCATACCATACCAGTAGTTTCTCACATTCACACGATGCCTGTGAGGTCACGGCATCGTGCCCGGCAAAATGCAGCGTCAAGGCTTCCTGTGCCACTGAGCAGGCAACGGTTCTAAGACGCAAGCGGACACACCTAGAAAGGCAAAGCTCATAATATTGTTCATGCCTAAAGCTACCCGGCTGTTTTGGAACACTTCTCGACACCGGGTACAGCCTTCTTGAGCGGAAGGCCTAGCCGAGTCTGCCTGTGACGACAAGCGACCGCAAGCCCCCGAGTTGTGATTCCATCATCGCAGAACTGGGGACTCAGAGCAGAAGCATCAAGCAGGTGTGCCATCTCTTATCAATCTCTGAGTCGGTGATGTGTTGCGATGGTTGGCACGTTTTTTCTTTAAACCTTAGGATACCTACGAATATTACGTTACTTTGGGCTGGGATGGACTGCCTCCACGCTCCAATGCGTTGCCTCGAGCAGTTGCCGCGCAGCCTGCACGACCACACTGCAACAAAGACATTACGGCCCGAATGCCACGGCCAGAAATTCTGTGTGAAACCGCAAGGAAAGCATGGCGAATCGCACTTCAGATTCTCATCCAAGGACAGATCAATGTTTCCGGCCTACGGCTTATGTTGTAAATGAATGTTTCCGGTTCGAACAGGTTCTTGCACGGATTGGGAGTGACTGCGCCGCTGAGACTCCGAGCGGAAGTCTCCGAAACCATGAGCAAATAACGTCAAGAGATCGGTGAAAGCTAGGAATATCATAACCTTGCATGCAAATCTCATGTTCGCGGCTCATCGCCCCAAGGCTCAGGGTTTCTTTACATGTCACAGTTTCCGCTACCCCATGATGTGTCAAGCCCTGGCGCGGAAGCTGATGTGAGCTGCAGTCACTAATTTGCCGGTTTGACGGATACTTGCGCTCTCCTCCGAGCTCTCGCAGCTCGCAGTGCCGGACCCTGCAACCTTGAGGATCCTTGAGGAAAACGCCCGCACAAAACCGGCCCAAGAGTTGACTCAAATAGAGCCAAGCCCAGGTCCAGAAGCTTTGCGTGAGCTCGAGATTCGCTTCCCGGTTCCAGCTAAATCTGTTAGAGCCGAACCCTCCATAACCCTGAAGCCGTAACGCTGAACCTTAACGCTCAGCTCGACACCATCCTAACCTCCAAAGACCTAAAACACGGCCATGCACCCAAAAAGCTGAAGATTCAATCTGGGCCTCGATTTCGACGTGACACACCTCGCACACCTGGGCAATCTTGTCCTTCGGCGATGGGATTGGGCTTTGGCGTACTGGGCTTCAGGAACAGGATGGTTTAGTCTTGCGAGAGACTGATCCCATACAATCAAGAAGAACAAACAACGAAGCATCTCCCGAGCCTCCTCCGACATGGCCCGCTTTGCAGCAGATACAATCGCGCTCTGCAGGTTGAGGGTCAGTTTTTGCTGGAGACGGCTGATCTCACAATCCACGGGCCCGACTGGAATCTGCTAGGTATCTGTCGGTGAGAAGGGGATGGGCATGGATGGGCCAAACGCGAAGCAATTCAGATTAGAGCTAGCGTGGTGTATAGTTGAAAGCGGGTAGACGGCGAAGTCGTGAAGGACTCAAGCCTGGCTGACTGTCTCATGATGTTTTCAGGTCCTACCTTAGCAAGCAGACCAAAGCATTGTTCAATAGTTTGCTGGGTTACCAGATCATCTACCCGTGCCACCGCGACATGTACGGAATATGAATGCAGCCTGTATGGGATCGTGTTATCTACTGTCATACTACTGTTGACTCAGAAAGCTTAAAAACCTCGGGCCAAATGTCAGCGATTCCAACTTGTACTCCGTGCTTAGAACAGGTTGGTGGGGTTCAGGCACAAGAACCACTGTCTGAATCGTGAACACACGAGTCATGCTCATGCTCTTAAACTTAGGCGGTGACAACCACCTACAAAACGTGTCATCTCCTGTACAACCAACGCAGTCTTGGGCGTATGCAGCATTTTTGTTGTTATCCAATGCGATGTTAAATGACGTTGCAGCTGAGCTCTGCCCTATTGTCTGCGCTCTCGTCAGGCGGTCACTGCATCCAGCATCCGCCTTAGATTCGTTCTGGCATGCTCTGGCAGCCTATACTGCTTGAGAGTGAGGTACCTGACTTGAACATCGTGTAAAACCTTTGAACATGTACTGTTGTCGGGCATCCTGATAAACATGTTGCAGCCCCTTGGAAAAATGCTTGGCTGCAGGAGAATGGCAATGCAATGTAAGTGAAGACTCTTCGTCAGCACGGCAGATAAACCGACCTTTTCCAGGGTCCTGGCCCCCAACTACAGTGTCAGAAATGCATCAATGTCACAACTGTTCTTTTTCTGATCTGGCCCTACCTACCCCTGCCCACATCTGCCACAGCTCGGGTCTGGGCTTGTACAGCGGTGGCATCACGACCTGTGGACGACCGCTGCCGCAGGTTTGCATTCCACACTCAGCACCACCCCTGTCTCAGGTCCCCCCCCTCAGGTGCGAGTGTGATACTTAATCAGAATAGCATGTACCAGTGTACCATCTATGCGGTTTGCGAGCGAGGGAGTTAAATAATCCAAATAAGAGGCTCCCGTGTTTACTTTGTTTGAAACAGTTTCACTGAAACCCTATTGAAAGCCCCCCCCCCCCGGCCAGGCAAGAACCGAGCCGTGTGGAATGCTTTGAGCTACCCCGACCACACGCCCTAAACTCCGACACCTTAGAGCCCAAACCCCAAGCCCAGAACCGGTAACCCTACACCCGGGAGAAAAAAAAAAACCTGCACCTTCGCCCGGCCCGGAACTGGTACCGCGTGGGTGCGGGAAACAATGGACATGAAGCAAACGCGGAGAGGGGGTTTGCTTGGGACAGTTTAGGGCTTTGGCCCAGTTTCGCGGCAAGCAGTTGCCCACATCACTCGAGAAACAGCTATAGCAAAAGTGCAACTATATCTTAATGCAATATTTCCGTGAGAGACAGCACAAAAGGTGGCTACAATCAGCTAGAACTCAATGCAATCTGTGAGCGACAGCTTTGAGCCCTTTTGGGATGCTTTGACTTTGTCGTGTGTTGGTTGAAGCTGGTTGTCTGAACCTTTTTTTGTAGCCAGGGCCTCCAAGCCTTTCCCCCAGATTTGTAGCATTGCTGCCTGAGCAACATAATGCATGCAACGTTTCAATGTCAGCTCATGTCATGAACAACAATTTGTCCAAGATGTTTTTCTCGTCTTTCTCGTCAGAAATTAGCTGGCGGTCAAGGAGTTATTTTCTATTTTTGGGGGGTCTGCCAGGCATTTGGGGGGTCTGCCAGGCAGTATAATGCCTTGCACACCCCCACTTTAAGCCTACCGCCAGGCATTCTCCAGGAGTAAAGATAGCAGACATCTAAAGACTTAGCGAATGCTCCATGCTAAGGCTGACTGTCCCTCGTCTACGTGCAACTATAGAATTGCGAGCTACTTTGACCGACAGCTTACGCGCATGCAACTGAAGCATGGGTTGAGTCGATAATCAAAGATGTGCTTCAACAAATGAAGGACCATGCCTCGATTCTCGACGCGCCCCTGGTTCGCTGAGCTCGCTATGAAGACGACTGTCGTGAGAATCCCGGAGAATCTTGTTAAAACACAACGAAATCATGCAATCGGCAGCGCGTACGCATGTGACCGTGTGAGGTGCTATCGGTCAGGGATGGTCCATCGTGAAGCAGACATGCCAAACAAAAAAAATATGAATGGAACCGAACGCAGACGTAGCAGGGCGCGCTTATATTCCCTAGTCTGCGTGCCATGAGCGACGCTGCTGTCGCGGGGTGAAGACGAAGTTCTCTGCTGAAGGATGCGCCCGACGCTGAACAAAAAACGAAACCAGATCACATATCTGCGTGAGAATCTGTTTTTACCAAAAGGGGAACCGAACGGTCGCAGTACTAGTCGCAGCTGTGCTGATGACATGGCAGCAAGAGAGAACATCTCTGAATTTGCCTGATTGCACTGCTCGTCTGGATCTCTGATGCTGATCACCAGATCTCGCTTAGACGATGCCAGCACGCAACAAGGGACATTGGATCTTCGCGGGCGATGGCCGCATGTCTTGTCAGCACCTCGGATTGCTACCCTCCTTCGATTCATGCATCCTATCTACTTCTCAGGTGCGGAAACCAAACAGGCGCGGAAAGTTCCAATGATTATGTGCAGTGAGAAGCTGTGGAATTCTCAGCACACCGGAGAACCATGTAGGCAGTCTTGCAAGCCACGCTAGCAGGAGCCAGCATTTGAATGAGGCAAGTCGTCGCGACCATTCCTACCGAGACTACGGCTACCAGGTAGGGTGATAGGATGTGATGCAACAAGCCTCCAAGAGTCACATCGCCCTGCCGAAACTGTCACGCTAGGCCGGCTGCCGCGTGTGGACGAGATTTTGCAAGCGGGAACTTGACTCGGGACTTATGTCGCAATTATTGGCCAAGCCACAAACAAACCTGATACGTTATGCAACGCGCGAGGTCCAAGGCCGCCCGACCATGGGCGTCGCTGACCCATCTGCGCGGCGAGACTGCAACCATAGCCGGTCACAAATAGTCCGACGGAATTTTAGACTGCATGCTGGCATCAGGGCGGGAGAAGGTTTGCGGCCGCTGGACCGGCTCAACATGTTGCTGACCTCTCTGCTCGGTGGGACAGGAAACGAATGCCAGTCTTGGCGAAGCCTAAGGCCACTCCAAAACCTCTTTTCAAACTCCGGGTCCTGAATTCTGGAAGAAAATGCACGTCACGATCCTGTTTGAGTAATTCTGTGTCGCGATCCGCCCCGGAAGAAATTCCAGGGGGATCGCTTGGGTGTCCAGACTTGACTGGAACCGATGTGAAACTCAGAAACTGTTGAGATTCGTTCCTCATGCACTGCAGGTGTGTCACTGTCACACGTGCCGGTGTGTTTCACGTTTCCGCACTGTGGCTTCAGCCATGCCAGGTGCAGCCTTCGTGTTGCTCGGATGCTGTCATGTCGGCGCAGTGACTGAATGATTTGGGGGCCCACTTAAGCGGGGATAACCGTACCGCGGGGATACGCGTACCTCGGGGTCGGGCCCGGGTCCTGTTTTGACTGGGGTCGTGCGGGCAGGCTGTGGAAGCTCATATTGGCAACATTTGTCCTGAGATGGTTGCAAAAAGCAGCAGCCACCACAAAGTTTTTTCTGCTTGCGCAAATTGCTTGAATCAACTCCGGTCCCATGGTGTTGGGGCGTCGAATTACGAGGCGGCCACAGTGGTGCGTGGTAATGTTTGGCAGACTTGGAGCAAAGAATCTTTGCTCAGCGGGTTCAACGATTCAGGTTGCTGGCATGGGTTTGCAATACGAGCTGAGTCCTGAATGTGTGATTGAAGCATCAGAAATAAAAACTTGTGCATTTAAAAGTGCACTGGTGAACCAACGCACGAACGTCGATGTCCCAGTACATAAACTCGTTCCGTGAGAACTTCTGTTGGCGAAGTACATGTCCAACGACTCCGGAGTTGCCGGGTGCCTCTTTAGTTTGTCCGGGCGGGCCTTAGTAGATAGCGGCAACAACATGCTGTGAAGTGCGCAAAACCCAACACTGACTGACAGAGTAAGCTATCTGCATCGGACAAGAAACAAAAGTGCGGCTTCGGGTTGCGCACGTCGCTTCCGTAAGCGACGACCAAGTTTTGTCCCCCGCGTCCGTCGACATCCGAACGTCATCCGAGTCACGGCGACACGGCTCCATCTGGCCCATCGGGTTCGGGCGAAAAGGCTCTTCATGGCTGCGACCAACAAGGAAATGTCCTACGACAATCATTGCGAGAAATTATCAACGTCCAACCGTGTATGTGCTTCAGTCAGACCCAGTCGGTCTAGTGCTGGGCCGGGGATTGGCTGCCGGAGAGAGAGTGCTATGACGACACTTCCCGCAACCAAAACAACTATAACTACTATTACATATGCGAATTACAGCCAGTGTGGCCGAGTGCAAAATGGTCTGAAAGTCAAGGTTGTCCGTACTGTGGGTGTGGCTGAATGTCATAATGAGACTGCACATGACGATGCTCTAGAACTTAGTTCTGAGTCTGGTCCGAAAGTGCGGCAATCGACAAACCGATGCTCATGGAACAAGTGCAAAACTATTCGCATGCACAGACAGCATGAGCGACTGCAGCCATGTCATGAGCAGAGCGAAAGGGGCGGAAGGCACCTCGTCCAGCGAAGAACTTGCTGTAGGAGATGATATAGATGTCCACCGATTCAGAACGACGGGGGTTGAACAGCGAGTAAATCTTTATGGGGTTGAACTACGGGTGGTCCCACTGCAATTAAAACGTCAGAACTATCTAAACAGTGCAAATTCTGATGATGGCTCGACTCCTGTGCAATCAACATCACATATTAGTACCACATGGAAGACCATCGAATCTAACCAATGTTCATGGTGTTTGATTTAAAATGCTTACTTGCTACTGCAACTTAAAATAGTCAAATTTGAATACCCAACGACTGCACTGATAGGCAAAAAACACCTGCTAAGTCATGATGTTAAACATGGCGGGTCAAACTTCAATACTCTCGTTTTAGTAACATCAAGAAACTGGGCCCAAAACGTACGGCTATCTCCGGCGTACGGCTATCCCTGCTTAAGTTGCTCTCTGAATGGTTGTTCTTATGCGAAAACTCTGCGCGACTTCAGCATGTGCTGTGCTCAGATTTCTCGCGGGACTTGTAAACGTTCCAGTCTCGCGACGCTCGTAGTCAATATTTGACAACTCTCTAGGTTTTCTGGATTCGTGGTTCATCCTGCGTTGAGTGCTTCGATGACGCGGTATGAAGCCGACTGTTTACAACCAGGCCTGTCGTCTTCGTGTCAGATACACGACGCCACATATGTTGGAGTCACGCAGTTCCAAACCGATAGCCATAACTATGTGCTCCGGTTTTCATGGCCGTTTCATGACATATGTGTGCGCGATCGGTGTGCTATGCTAAAGACGTCAGTTATTTCGACCATGAGATTGTAAACTCGTAGTTGTGTCACAGCTAGTTACTGACCATACATCACTATCGCTCGGTTAGTGCAACTACCTCTGGCAGCAGTCGTTCCGATTCGGGAGATGCCGCTCCAGGTCCATAGCCAAAACTGCTCCGGTCTTCATGTCTACTTCACGCGTGCGCGTTCCATGCGCTTTGCGAGGTTGTCAGTTACTTAGACTATTTCTTTAATACTCGTAGTTACTCGTCGTAGTTGTGCCACAACTCTGGTGTACATCCCGTCATCACGCAACTAGTTGCAAGTGGAATACCATTGCAGGCAGCTTGTTTCAGATGTGACTGGTTGGCATGTTGTGCGATTTCATGGACCGGTTGGAGGACAGTATGTAGGATGAACCTGATGGCATCTATGGTGCGAAGAAAAGAACTGTCGCAGCTGGCGGTTTAAGTCACCCACCCACCCCCCTCCCCCAAGCCCCGCATGTCGCAATCGCTTGCTTCTCTTGCTTCTCCGTTAAGCGCCTGCGCCAGGATCAGACCGTTCCGGTGTGAATTGGGATGGCCATGTGCCGCAGAGTAGTCTGACTGATCTTCTCTCCTACGTCCCACACAGTTCCAACACCCTCAACTCTCGCAACGCAGCCTGCTCCAAGCCAGAGTGCTCGAAGCTGAGCAGAAGCTGATACAAGCTGTGCCGGGCCTGTCCCCAAGCACGTGTTTCGACCAGCGTCCCAAACCCTGGGCTCTAAGTAATGAGGCTGAACCCGAGGCCATGGTACCGAGTACACTGAACTCTTATTCTGTTTTATTGCAGGGCGCACAGCATCTGTACGATTGCGCGCAGTACTGCCCAGGCTTAAGTGCTGGGCTTGGTACAATATATTCTACACAACAATTGGATCGAGTAGGTTCAAGCAAACTGTGGGTGGACTGCAAGCGTCAATGCATGGATGGATGCATGGCCGCGAGAAGCAGACCTGTTTGGCTAAGAGGCAACAAACAGCAGTGGGCACCGATTGAAGGAATATGAGCAACAAAGCTTTGGCATAGGCACGAACTTCGAAGTTGAAGCTGGAGGGTGTTTGCTTCTTACATGCCTCAACCATAAAATCCATAAAAGCTTTCTAGCCCGATCCCTTAATAACGACACCATCCATACGGCATCCGACCGGAACTTCAGGGACAAATGTGGTTTGGGATCGCAAAACGAGTTGTGCTCAGCAGTACCCCTTGATCGTCTGAGCCACCTTATACTGACACTTGAGCGCTGACTGTGCAGGCTGCCAGTTGCCAGCCTATACCGAGGCTCGCGTTAAACAAAGAGAAACTACTGTAGCCTTTGATGATACTTCGCTGTCCATGATTCGAACGATACTTTCGGCGACTGGATGGGAAACTGCTGCTTCGACGCAGGGCTAGTTGTCCAACGGCCATGCTGCTGCACCAAAGACAGACAAACAGACACACACACACAGAAATGCAACATGGACTTCCGGACTTCCGGGTTTCAAGTCTGCGGCCCGCACGACGACAGTCCTCTGCAAAATGCAAGTCGCTAGTCTGCTACACGGCAAACTCGACTTGCAAAGCAACTTCGGATCCATAATGGTCGGGACGCGATAATGAAGCAGGCTAGGGCGAGGGCCCAATACAACACTACCTACCTGAAGGGTTGGTTGTTCAAAGGCACACTGAAACTATCACCTCACCGAGCAACACTTTCTGTGAACTTCAAAGTTAACTGAGGGCCTAGTCGAGTGCCATGCTGCACGAAGCACGGCCGCAAGGCGGGACACGAAAGAAATCTCTTGCTGCAAAACTTGGTCGTACCCTGCCGGCCCAAGACCTGTTACATTTCCTTGCCTATCGCTTGAATGCTCAGCGTCCCTGAAATCGCAACACCACGAATGGCCCAGTAGGATACTGTAAGTCGCACGTTCAACCTGGGTCCCTCCGTTCGAATCGAAGGCATATATGCCGATCCGCAAACCACCAAGTTCAAGCCACTAAGCGAATCACGAGCACACAAAACCGTGCAAGATCGGAACAAACCATGAACACCATGATACCTAAACCCTCTGCCCTCAGTTTGCCTCTTCTTGAGCGCCGGAGAGCGCACAGGCCGTAGAATGGCCGAGGTCCACAAAGCCACGCAAGGACATAGCTCCTAGCTTGTTTCGGGTGTGCCTTCTTTAGTTTGGGTATTGCGGGGTCTAGCTAATGGCCTTGAGAAGAAAATACGAAACAACAGAATAATCTGAATAGGGACTGGACTAGCTAGGACCTACAAGCTGTGCAAGTTGCAAAGCTCCATCGAATTATTGGAAAAATCACCTCGGTGGAAGGATTAACTAAACAGAATGATTATCGATTCTGTCGTTAAGCTTGTTGCAGCCTAGAAACTCCTCTCCAAAAGTCTGGATCGCGGCACTTGCGAATTTCGGGGCTTCAGGATTGCAGGATCGAAGATCTCCGACCGCAACCAGGATGGGCCGACTCCAGGCTCCATGAGCATCAAGAGCTTTCAGGCTCTATCCAAACCATTTGAGTTCAAGGCTCCTAACGGGCTCTGACTGCCAACTTCATCTACATACTCCTCCATTGCGATGCAATGAATGTATACTTCATGTCTACGACACCACAGTTGCACTTCCTCCATTCCCGAAGGCATCACAGATCATACGTCGTAAGTTGCAGACTGCAGGATCCATCATGTGGTTTCTGCCCCAAGGTTCCTTCAATTGCATCACCCGCTCAACTCCGTCGTGGAATCAGCACAGGATCGTGCACTACACCAAGGCCATCTCGTTTTAGTATGAGGTCTCTTGTCCTGCGATGTTCTCTTGTGATTGTAACTTTGTATCATACTAGCAAAGCCAAGCCATACCGAGCTGTGCGGCCCAGACACGCTCTAAAGCTCGCAAAGATCCGCAGAGTTCGTAGATCACCTGTCAGCTGCTCAAAGGGCTCCCGGAAGCGAGCGTTCTGAACATGAAGAGCTTTCAAGACTTTACGTCCACCACCTAATTAAGGTTTTCCGGCAAGTCTCCGCTCCACCTTGAGCTCTTTTGCTCCGGGCTTTGGATGCTTCGCTGGGTAGTCTGCATGAACTCGAACTGAAGGCTCAAAACCGCGGCCGAATCTTCCAATGAGAAAAGGACTCATTGCCATTACTCTGACAAGTCAGCCAAGGCCAGGGCCGTTGGATTTGCCGCTAGAACCGCTGGTATAAATATGATCCTGAGAACCCCCTGAGAATCCAAGGAAGGCAGAATCTGCGCGAAACGCTCTCGCAAAATGCGAAAACTTTTATGGGCCTGGGTGTTAGTAAGTACATTGCCTTGTTACAAGAGAAACTAACAATGTATTAACTAGTATGTAAGTATATTGTAAGTATATTATAAGTATGTTGTAACTATGTATAAGCCACATAGAATGTTATGGCAGTTATTATCTTTTTATTAAAGTATAGGTATCATGCTGTATCTATGTTATTTATTTAATCCCGAGTTAACTAGTTAGTATCTTTTTCCATCGCTTATGTTTAACATGTCTTTCAGCCAAATAGAATAACGAAATCATGTTTTTTCATGGCATGCACTTGGTTTTCCCACTGTACTTTTTTCTGGTGTAAGAAAACAACATAGGCAAGTTTCCTTTTCAAAACAAGCTCTGACAGCCGCACGGCAAATGCACGGGGCCATAGATGCACGAAAAAAATTTGGATTTGGCAGAATGCGAGTTGCTTGCAGCAGGATGGCCGAAGTAGGTCATCTTGCTTTGGGTTTGCGAGATTGAGACTTTGGCAGTGGCTTGCCGATGAGAAGGCATGGAAGTGCTTCTTTTGGTAGGCAGGCCGACGAAAAAAAACATGTTGGGAACCATATAGCCATGCTGGCTCCTGAACTGTAGAAGGTTGAGCAAGCATATGTTGAATAATTTTGCATAGCATGCGATGCTATCTTTCTGCGAGGCTAGTTCCGCTTCGTCCGGGCATGTGCACCATTCCTAATGGGGATGGTTGTTTCGAAAAAAAAAGCCTGCGATTGGCTGTTGCTGTATTGAAGCCTTTATGGCTGATTCATGCCTTGCCGATATTCCTTTTATCTCATGAAGCTGCCCATAGCTTTCGGCGGAAGTTGGTATTCATATGCTGCAATCTTAAGCTCTCGAAGTCTTCGGAGTTTTTCGTGTAGTCTTTCGCCTTCAGCCTTGGGAGCATGGCTTCGGTGGTGGATGCTCAAGTTGAGGCGGCGGTGAAGCATGCCTTGCAATCCACGAAGCCTATGCTTGAGAAGCTGGACGAGGTGACATCCATCCTCAGGAAGGCTGGTCTGGCATGGCAGACAGTGGTCCGTGTGCAAGAGGTACTGGTGCACCCGCAGAATCGCGGTGGCCAGATGCTCTCGGTAGAGGACGTGCACACGAAGGGTGCCAAGCTTCTGCAAGTTGGAATCAGGAAAGATTTGCTGTCCGGCTCTGTATGCTTCGCAATCGGCCACTCGGATGATGTGAAGAAGAGGCAGCTTCTGGCCAACCAGCAGCTCGTGCAGTCACACCCGGAGCTTCTGGCCCCGGTAGTTGGCAGTGAACGGTACTTGGCTGCAGGGGCTTCTCACACTTCCAGCTTCTTCCGGGCGGTTGCTGCCGGCAAGACTTCGCCTGCCAGTGCTGAGCTGATTGATCATCCGTCGCCCGCTTTGAGGGACGTTTTGGAGCAGGGGTGGGAATGGACGGTGATATCCGCAGCGGCGGAAGCGGCATTCCCCGACCTCCCAAGGTTTTATTCCTTGGCACTCAATGCACATGCGGCGAGCCTCAAGCAAATGAACGAAATCGAGGCCGCTTCCCAGCTTGCCCTCGGTCTTCGCAACGGGCTGACCTTGAAGAAAGCGATTGAGGAGGTGCGAGCCTCGGAGCCTTTGTGCAAAGCAAGCCTCGATGCGATTGGCTTCTATGCCTCGCATTTCGGCGGCGGTGAGAACATGCCCCTGATCGACTTCCTCGGCAGGTTCGGCTGGCCGGCTGCATATAGCTTGTCGTCGACGATATAGGAACCGCTTCAATGCCTTCTTTGGCTACGTATAAAGCAGGTTCCTGGTTGCAGATGTGTGCTAAGCCTTCCTGTGGCTATGTAGACAGAAGCCTCGAAATGGCTATGCAACCAAGGGCTTTTTATTTCGGAAAGCTTTTTCATTTCTGTATGTTTGGGAGTTTTATAAAGCCTGACATGGCTGTGTCTCACTGAGCCTGGGTGTTGCTGAATATCAGCCTCCAGATGGCTATGTGTTGGGCTTCGAAGCCTGCAGATCATGCACTTTCCACAAGCTCTGGAAAAGCTTTGCTTGGTTGCCGAGGAAAGCTGCACGGCTTCGTCATGATTGGCGAAGACATGATGCGATGCCTGGCTTTCCTGCAAATGAAGAATTCGACGGGGCTCTATCCATTTCTGCGGCTGGCAATGTCGTCCACCATGATGCAATCCACGGTTCAAAAGGACGGCATCTCCAGAATTCTGGTGAAAGCAGACGCCGATAAATTGCAAGACATGAAAATGAGAGAGCAAGTGGATGAGGTGGAGCAATTGCTGGCAGATAGCTGGGAACTCCTTCAAAGCTGTGGACTCGACGAAGCCGCACGAGTCGGTGCCTATGGCCGACTGGCTGTTCGACTCATTCTGAAGCTGGCGAACAAGGAGAAGCTTGGTAGGGAGCCAGCAGGTTTCGACAGCTACCAAGACATTGCGAAGTTGTTTGCTGCAGAGTTGCAGAAGAATGCCAAGGCTGCATCGAGTTCATCGGCCACTGCTCCGGGCCAGGAGTTGAAAGTGCACAATTTGATCGAAGCGGATGCCGCCCAAGTCGCTCTTTCGAAGAACAGCCACATGGAGCTAGGCAAGTTGCAACTTGGTCGTCAGCATGCAGTGCATATCGTTTACACAGGCATGCATGCATTGCATGCAGGGCAGATGCACCACATGAAGCCATGTTGGCTTTGCAATATAATGGCCCTATATGGGGTTGTTGCCAATGGATTTCTTTCTGTAATAATCGAAACGTGACTTCTACATGTACACACATATGCCCCGAAGATCAGAACATCTCAAGAGACATCGGGTCTTTCAGCTTAGCCAAATAACACCGAAGAGCATCGATTATCATGCTGCGAGGTTGGCTATAGATGTAGCAGGGGATTTGCTTCTGCATACAGACGAGGCTCTATGCCGACGTGCACGGGGATTGCACATTTGAAGTGTTTCCGGGCACCGGTGCAAGGATCGGTTGCATCATATGTTGCTTTCTACAGTTGATTGCGCTTGGAGCTTCGGTTTGGGGGCTCCTGAAATGTGCTGCTGCAGTGTCGTCGGATTTGCAAGCAGTAACAAGTTAGTCCAGCCCAAAGTATGAGAGGCAAGATTGGACTTGATTACTGTGCACAGAAACATGCTGCATGCATGGGGTCTATGCACTTGTACACACGTCTTGCAAAGGTACAGTTGCACGAAGAGTCACGGCAGCAAACTCTTTGAGTTTGTCAAAGTGGAGGCGGACCATGTCTTGCTGGTTTGCAAGCCTTTGTTCCTGGATCCGATTGAAGAAAGAGTGGCTTTC